GAAAGTATTTTCTTTTTGGGGATTTTCTTTCTTTTTGGGTCACCCTGCCTCGGTGCGAGATGACTGACGTACTAAAAAAAAAAAAACATAGGTCTGCATGGAAATGAAAAACGACTTATAGGGTTTGCTACTATCCACGATTTCGGGTATCCGCTGTAGGTCTTGGAACATATTGCCCGTGGATATGAAGGGACTACTGTATTATTATTATTAGGCTCATGGAGAAGCTCTAAACCCATTGGGGTCATCCAGTGCCTGGGAAATGAATGCGATCAAATATGATCCTAATTAAGGAAGGATAGTTCCAACTCCTTGGATCAAAATCTCTTCTCCAGCACTGGGCATCTTCCCTTGAAGGGTATGAAGATTAAGACATTTGGCAGCATACTGTGAGATGCAGTCTCAACTTAGCTCCAGCTTTGTTTCTGTAAGTGCTTTCATGTCCCAATATTTATCAAAATACTGTACCTTAGTCTTCAAAATGAGCATGGTTTGACCTGACCTTGGCTGTCTTCTCGTCTGTTTTTACATTGACATCGCCTCTAGCTTTCTGTCCCTTTTTTTCACACCTGCGGCTTGGTAATTGTTGAAGACAGACCTAAAATCATGCATTTTATTTTAGGTTTGTGGATTACTTGTGACTTAACCCTTTGACTGTCGCGGCCGTATATATACGTCTTACGAGGTACCGTGTTTGACGTATATATACTCATAAATTCTAGCGGCTTCAAATCAAGCAGGAGAAAGCTGGTAGGCCCACATGTGAGAGAATGGGTCTGTGTGGTCAGTGTGCACCATATAAAAAAAATCCTGGAGCACGCAGTGCATAATGAGAAAAAAAAACTCCGACCGTTTTTTTTTTTATTAAAATGCCGACTTTGTGGTCTATTTTCGTATAGTATTTATGGTTGTATTCTCGTTTTCTTGGTCTCATTTGATAGAATGGAAAACATATTATAGAAATAGAGGTGATTGTGATTGATTTTACTATAAAAAGAACCTAGAAATGGAGCTCAAAGTAGGGGAAATGTTTAATTTTTGCCAATGTTCAAAAGTAAACAAATGATGCCATTGTCCAATAAATGTCCAACTAGCCATTCTAATATGCAGTCATGAATGGGTTGGTGTTATTTATACAATTATTACAGTATTGCAGTAGTCTGCATAATAGTAAGTCTTCTATTTTTTGTTTGAATAAAAATTCAAAATAGAAAGCAAGAGTAATATCAGAGGGGCCTGGAGACATGACTGATGAGCAAAGAAAATGTTATTTTAGAGCCAGGAATGTCTGCATTGTTCATTCTGGACCTTATTTTGAAATTGTCTTATTTTTTAGTTTTCGTGAAATTGGTCAAATTGCAAATTTCTGACCACATTATTAGGTAGTTGAAATCGGTAAATGGGCAGTTTCTTGTACTCAATCGATAGAAAAAATGGAGTTCTAAAGAAATAGCTATGAGTTTGGGCGACTGGAACAATGGAATTAGCCGAAAAAGGGTTCAAAGTGGGCGAAATCGCCGATTTGTAAACAGCGCCGAGGTCGCTAACTTTGCGAGAGCATAATTCCGTCAGTTTTCCATCAAATTTCGTTTTTTTGGTGTCATTGCAATCGGGAAAAGATTCTCTGTCATTTCATAAGAAAAAATAATTTTTTTTTTTTAAATTTTGCGACACCAGGAGACACCTCAGGATTGGGGGTTGCGACAGTCAAAGGGTTAAATGCTTAGTTGTGATTTATTAACTACATATTAATTTTTTCTATTTGTACCAGAAAATATATGTACAGATTCAGTAATGTGAAATGCATACCAAAAGAGAAATGTCTGAAGCAGTGAATTTTGTTTCTGAATTTTAATTATAAAAGTACATTAACTTGACAAATATGTATATTTTAATTAGTTTAAATATGACCGATGTATTTTATTGAGCTCGACCTTATGCAGTAATTGGAGTAATATGGTGTACAGTGCAAAAGTAATATATAAATATAGTTTTTTATAAGAAAGATCAATTACTTGTTATACATTATTCATTTTCACTATGAAGAATGAATGCATATTAAAATTTCTTTTCTTTTGTGAATTGTTGTCTAATTCACAAGGCTAATTAGGTATTAATGACAATTCATTTGCATATTCAAAAATCCAGGAAATAGGCCTAGATGTTCTTGTATTTTATTTTTTTAGGTGACTTGGTAAACATCAACATAGTTTTTGTGTATTTATATACTGATATATATTTCATAAATTCTTTTAATGAAACAAAAATCTATGGTAACCTCAAAGTTTCATGTACCTCAAGATGTGTTTTCTTGTAAGAATTGTTTAAATTATGATCCAAATGCAAGTTGTGAATGTATTGATTCTCTATATCAATAATCATGCCAATATATTATGGTAAGTCAGACTCAATGTTTACATACTGCAACACTTGCTAAGCTTTTAATAAAGGAGTTTAGTGGATACATGAAACAAATTATAGATTAAATTACTTGATGTTCATGTTTTATCATGGACACCTCTTGGTTTGCTTAACAATTTGCTGATGATAGCTTTTTCACAATTATTATATGTTGTCAACAATGAAAGAAGGGTGAATGAAGGATGTGAGTGTGGGGGAGGTGCATGAGGCATTACGTAGAATGAAAGGGGGTAAAGTAGCTGGAACTGACGGGATCATGAAAGAAATGTTAAAAGCATGGGGGGGATATAGTGTTGGAGTGGTTGGTATTTTTGTTTAATAAATGTATGAAAAAGGGGAAGGTACCTAGGGATTGGCAGAGAGCATGTATAGTTCCTTTATATAAATGGAAGGGGGACAAAAGAGACTGTAAAAATTATAGGGGAATAAGTTTACTGAGGTAAGACAGAATGTAGGATTGTGGATGAGCAAGGAGGTTTCAGAGTGGGTAGGGGATGTGTAGATCAAGTGTTTACATTGAAGCATATATGTGAACAGTATTTAGATAAAGGTAGGGAAGTTTTTATTGCATTTATGGATTTAGAAAAGGCATATGATAGAGTGGATAGGGGAGCAATGTGGCAGATGTTGCAAGTATATTGAGTAGGTGGTAAGTTACTAAAAGCTGTAAAGAGTTTTTATGAGGATAGTGAGGCTCAGGTTAGGGTGTGTAGAAGAGAGGGAGACTACTTCCTGGTAAAAGTAGGTCTTAGACAGGGATGTGTAATGTCACCATGGTTGTTTAATATATTTATAGATGGGGTTGTAAAAGAAGTAAATGCTAGGGTGTTCGGGAGAGAGGTGGGATTAAATTATGGGGAATCAATAAATAACAAAAAGGCACAATACCGTGACTGGAACAATACACAAATAACCGGGACATAAAAGAGAGAAGCTTACTACGACGTTTCGGTCCGACTTGGACCATTGACAAAGTCACGTCGTAGTAAGCTTCTCTCTTTTATGTGCGGGTTATTTGTGTATGGGGAATCAAATACAAAATGGGAATTGATAGTTACTTCTTGCTGATGATACTTTGCTTATGGGAGATTCTAAAGAAAAATTGCAAAGGTTAGTGGATGAGTTTGGGAGTGTGTGTCAAGGTAGAAAGTTGAAAGTGAGCATAGAAAAGAGTAAGGTGATGAGGGTATCAAAGGATTTAGATAAAGAAAAATTGGATATCAAATTGGGGAGGAGGAGTATGGAAGAAGTGAATGTTTTCAGATACTTAGGAGTTGACGTGTCGGCGGATGGATTTATGAAGGATGAGGTTAATCATAGAATTGATGAGGGAAAAGAGGTGAGTGGTGCGTTGAGGTATATGTGGAGTCAAAAAGCGTTATCTATGGAGGCAAAGAAGGGAATGTATGAAAGTATAGTGGTACCGACTCTCTCATATGGGTGTGAAGCTTGGGTTGTAAATGCTGCAGCGAGGAGGCGGTTGGAGGCAGTGGAGATGTCCTGTCTAAGGGCAATGTGTGGTGTAAATATTACGCAGAAAATTCAGAGTGTGGAAGTTAAGAGAAGGTGTGGAGTTAATAAAAGTATTAGTCAGAGGGGTTGTTGAGGTGGTTTGGTCATTTAGAGAGAATGGATCAAAGTAGAATGACATGGAGAGCATATGAATCTGTAGGGGAAGGGAGGAGGGGTAGAGGTCATCTTCGTAAAGGTTGGAGGGAGGGGGTTAAAGGAGGTTTTGTGGGTGAGGGGCTTGGACTTCCAGCAAGCATGCATGTTAGATAGGAGTGAATGAAGACGAATAGTTTTTGGGAACTGACGAGCTGTTGGAGTGTGAGCAGGGCAATATTTAGTGAAGGGATTCAGGGAAACTGGTTATTTTTATATAGCTGGACATGAGTACTGGAAATGGGAAGCACAATGCCTTCACTTTAAAGGAGGGGTTTAGGATATTGGCAGTTAGGAGAGATATGTTTTATATCTTTATATATGCTTCTAAATTGTTGTATCTGGGTGCCTCTGCAAAAACAGTGATTATGTATAAGTAAGGTGAAAATGTTGAATGATGATGAAAGTATTTTCTTTCTTTTTGGGTCACCCTGCCTCAGTGGGAGACGGTTGACTTGTTGAAAAAAAAAATTAAAGAATTAATTAAATCATGTGTCACAGTAACTGCCTCATGGCATTTGTCGCTCATCCTAGCAGTAATGTCATGAGTATTACTTTCTTCAAGGGGAAAAGTATCTTGATTGTTAGGGGCTTTTGGTCTAAGGAATAAGAGCTACTTTCCCCTTGGATCACACTTGATTATCTTCCATTTCTTAGATTCTCTATGACCTCCTTGAGTTTAGCACTTTCCTTTGATGATGGTAATAGAAGTGTCTCTCACTTTGTCTATCAGATACTTTAACCAGTAGGCATAGTAAACCTTATTCATCACATATGTGTACTGTTCTCAACATCAGTTAACTTTTGTAATTTGTACATAAAGTATTACCTACAATTGCCCATTATATATTTTACTTGTAGAATGTCACTACGCTGTGGATTCTGTAGTAACTAAATATCATTTTTCTGAGCAGATCCTGACTGGTGAGGACTGGAATGTTGTGATGTATGATGGAATCCGTGCCTATGGTGGAGTAGCAACTCCAGGCATTATTGCCTGTGTCTACTTCATCATTCTTTTCATCTGTGGCAACTGTATCCTTTATAATCAAATGTTTGACTTGTTTTTGGAATGATTTATTTGTAATCCAACTGGACATCAAATATAAGTAAAAAAAAATTATTTTTAAAATGTGCATGATTGCTACAAAATTAGGTGACTTTTTTCATTCATTTTGAAAATTCTCTGGTAATGAAGAGCATTCTAGATACATAAAAATTAGGATTTAAAATTTCATTGTATAGTTATGTAAAAGTCATTATTTAATTACTAAGTTTAATATAATTAATTTGTGTGAAGATTAGATATTTAAATGTAAATTTTAAGTAATTAAACCGTTTAGAATACATTATATTAAAACAACGATGTTAATATGAAGTGATGATATAAATTTTATTGACACTTTTATTTATGCTGAAATAATTTACAGCCATCATGGAGTGAATGAAGCATTTAAATTACTGGGAGGAACACCTGAGAATCCTAAATACTTACATGCCAGAGCAGACAAGAGAGACATGCATGATAATACTGTACATGTATGGAAGTTACATGAGGATTTAGTCCCAAATCTGCATGCTGACATGACATACTGAAGTAAGAGATATGGGAGAAAATGTGAAATAACCCAATAAAAAGCAGGGGTGCCATAGGCAGAATTATTCAACATTACCAGAAGATTCTAGAAACACAACTGGAGCTAGTGTAGAAATTGTCAAGAGGTAATTCCTCCACCAAGTGCCAGATGAATCAAGTTGTGATGGATATGTGGGCCATCAGATCCCCAGCAGCAACAGCCTGATTGACTAAGCAAGCACTTGGCTGGTCTGCAGTAGTAGGAAAATTCTTGCAACCTGTCAAAGGTGTATCAAAGGTAAAGGGGAAGGGATAACAGCAAGTCATGAGTATGAATGCCAATAGGAATCTGGCCACTCTCAGCAGCTCTGTGACTCTTCGTCTTTGTCTGTATAGGGAATCTCTCTTTCTAGATTACATCTTTCTTTTCTTAATGGAATGTGCATTGAGCAGATCTCAAGTACCACAGAGTTTGTTTTCTAGGCCAAGGTTCGGATCAGTGTTGTATAGGATATCTTCCCAGCTTGTTTCATTTAGGACATGGTTGATTTGTTCCCATTGTATGTTTTTGTTATTGAAATTAAATTTAGTGAATATTTGTATAGTAGGTAGTAAGTTGGTAGACAGCAACCACCCAGGGAGGTACTACCATCCTACCAAGTACTTGTACTTGTTTTACACGATGGTAGGATTGCTTGTGTCTTTTTTCTGTCTCATAAACATGCAAGATTTCAGGTATGTCTTGCTACTTCTACTTACACTTAGGTCACACTACACATTCATGTACATGTTTATGTATACACACTCACCTGAGTTTTCTTTGATTTTATCTTAATAGTTCTTGTTCTTAGTGCTTTTCATTTCATATCCATGGGGAAGTGGAATAAAAATCTTTACTCCATAAGCCATGCATGTTGTAAAATTCAAATAAAATGCTGGGAACAATAGACTAGTAACCCCTTTTCCTGTATAGCTTACTAAAAAGAAAAAGAAGAAAACTGTCAAGAAGGGGTCTGGGATACTGACAGTTTGGATGGACTTCTAAATTGTCGTATCTGAGAGCCTCTGCAAAGACATTGATTATGTATGAGTGAGGTGAAAGTGTTCAATTATGATGAAAGTATTTTCTTTTTGGGGATTTTCTTTCTTTTTGGGTCACCCTGCCTCGGTGGGGGACGGCCGACTTGTTGAGAGAAAAAAAAAAGCATTGGTCGAGTCGAGCACATTCATTATTGCTTCGTTCATGCTCTTTCCTGGCCTGAAACCTAACTGACTATGAATGTGTTCATTTATTCATGTATTATTTTTCAATTTTTTTAGATAATTGCAAATTAGAAATTGACCTGCAGTTATTGGTTTCCATTGGGTCTTCACTTTTGTGGACTGGTGTAACACTTGATAGCATACGTATATTTGGAAAAATTTTGGTTTGTAAAGATTTACTGAATGCTGAAATAGTGGAGACTACTTCCTGGTAAAAGTAGGCCTTAGACAGGGATGTGTAATGTCACCATGATTGTTTAACCCTTTCAGGGTCCAAAGGCCAAATTTCAAAGTGCATACCCGTGTCCATAAATTTTCAAAAAATAATTTTGTTATTTTTACTTATGAAATGGTAGAAAATCTTTTTCTGATTTTTTTTTTTTTTTTTTTTTTTTTTTTTTTTACAAGTCGGCCGTCTCCCACCGAGGCAGGGTAATAAAACAAAAAGTACAAAATTTGATGGAAAATTTACGAAATTATGCTCTCGTGAATTTTGATGTGTCACCGACATTTTCGCATTGGCGATTTTGCCGACTTTGACTCCCATTTTAGGCCAATTATTTTACTTCAGTCCACCAAATTCTTAGCTATTTCACTAGTATTACTTCTATTCTATAGATTGAGCACAAGAAATCGCCATGTCAACTGTTGAAACTGCAAAATAAAGTGATCGGAAATTGTTAATTTTGCCAATTTAATGCAAAGTTCAAAATATTCTAATTTCAAAATAGGGTCCAGAATAAACAGTGCAGGCATTCCTGGAACTTAACTAACATTTCCTCTGTTCATTAGGTACATTTTCAGGCTTTACAAATGAATTCCATTTTGATTTTTTATTCACGTAATGAATATTTATTCAAACCAAAAAATAGAAGATTTACTGTTATGCAATACTGTAATAATTGTATAAATAATATCACCACATTTGTGAATGTACATTAGACCCACTAGCTGGCGTGTATTAGACGTGTGGGATCATTTGTTTACTCTGGAACATCAGCAAAAATGTAACATTTCTGCTATTTTGAGCTCAGTTTCAACCCATTTCTGTTATTAAAATCAATCAAAATCATCTCTGTTTCTGTAATATATCTTCAATTCTATCAAATGAGACCAAGAAATTGCAAATAAAACTATAAAAAACATACGAAAAAACTACAAAGTTGCTGTTTTAATCGAAAATTACGGTCTCGGTTTTTTCTCTCATTATGCACTGTGTGCTGCAGGATTTGTTTTATGTGGTGCACACATACCACATAGATGTATTCTCTCATATCTAGGCCCAAATTTACGGCTTATCAGAATGATCTGAGCTCATGGCGTAGATCTATGGTTTGGACCCTCAACGTATAGCCGTAGATCTATGGCATGGACCCTCAAAGGGGTTAATATATTTATAGATGGGGTTGTAAAAGAAGTAAATGCTAAGATGTTCGGGAGAGGGGTGGGATTAAATTATAGGGAATCAAGTACAAAATGGGAATTGACAGTTACTTTTTGCTGATGATACTGTGCTGATGGGAGATTCTAAAGAAAAATTGCTAAGGTTAGTGGACGAGTTTGGGAGTGTGTGTAAAGATAGAAAGTTGAAAGTGAACATGGAAAAGAGTAAGGTGATGAGGGTATCAAATGATTTAGATAAAGAAAAACTGGATATCAAATTAGAGAGGAGGAGTATGGAAGATGTGAATGTTTTCAGGTATTTGGGAGTTGATGTGTCAGCGGATGGATTTACGTAGGATGAGGTTAATCGTAGAATTGATGAAGGAAAAACGGTGAGTGGTACATTGAGTTATATGTGGAGACAAAAAAAATTATGTATGGAGGCAAAGAAGGGAATGTATAAAAGTACAGTGGACCCCCGGTTAACGATATTTTTTCACTCCATAAGTATGTTCAGGTGCCAGTACTGACCGAATTTATTCCCATAAGGAATATTGTGAAGTAGATTAGTCCATTTCAGACCCCCAAACATACACGTACAAACGCACTTACATAAATACACTTACATAATTGGTCGCATTCGGAGGTAATCGTTAACCGGGGGTCCACTGTATAGTGGTACCAACACTCTTATATGGGTGTGAAGCTTGGGTTGTAAATGCTGCAGCGAGGAGACAGTTGGAGGCAGTGGAGATGTCCTGTCAAAGGGCAGTGTGTGGTGTAATTATTATGCAGAAAATTCAGAGTGTGGAAATTAGGAGAAGGTGTGGAGTTAATAAAAGTCTTAGTCAGAGTGCTGAAGAGGGGTTGTTGAGGTGGTTTGGTCATTTTGAGAGAATGGATCAAAGGAGAATGACATGGAGAGCGTATAAACCTGTAGGGGAAGGGAGGAGGGGTAGAGGTCGTCCTTGAAAAGGCTGGAGGGCGGGGATAAAAGAGGTGTTGTAGGCGAGGGGCTTGGACTTCCAGCAAGCATGCATGGGCGTGTTAGATAGGAGTGAATGGAGACGAATGGTATTTGGGACCTGACGAGCTGTTGGAGAGTGAGCAGGGTAATGTTTAGTGAAGGGATTCAGGGAAACCAGTTATTTTTATATAGGCAGACATTGCTGCACGGTCAGCAGTACATGACCTTCCAGTTTCATATAGAGGTGTTCCATTCGTGGACTATTTTGCTGTAATAGTTACCCACCTTCACACCCGTTGGCAACAACATTGGTCTGATCTGCTCAATAACAAACTTCATTCTATTAAACCGAGTTTACGTTACTGGCCATCTTCTTGTCATCAGTGTCGAGGTTGGGAGACTCTCTCTCCCGTCTTCGCATTGGCCACACTCGTCTTACTCATTGGTATCTCATGGAGAGGCTCCCTGTTCCTCTCTGTGAAAATTGTAAGGTTCCAGTATCGGTTAGCCACATTCTGTTAGACTGCCCACTCTATCAATGAGCACGCAGAATTTACCTCCAACGTCATCTCCGCTCTGCTGCTCTCTCTTTACCTTCCCTTCTTGCTGATGGACCCTCCTTTAATCCAGACACTCTAATTGACTTTTTGACAACTGATTTACTCCATAAACTCTGATGATGATAACTTTAGCACTCCCCTCAGCCCTTTCTACCTCAATCTCTTGTTACCATCTTCCCCTGCACTATGCACTGCCCAGCTGTTCTCCGTAACCTACTAATCATCCCTCTCCCTTTTGCCACCCGATACCCTTGCTTTCTTCCCTGCCCTGCAGCGCTGTATAGCC